ACCAAACAACCAACCAAACCTGATGATCTGAAGTGTGCAGGTGATGTAACAGACTTGAATGCAGATAACTTTAGGAAGGTCTTGGTATGAGGAGGCAACAACCACTACTGCCCAGAAGTAGGCAATGTGCAGCGTAGTATAAGGCAGGGTCACAGGAGCTGTACACATCTCTGGGGTAAACAGAGGGCTCCCATTGGCTGAAGCACAACTGTCATACAGGTTATCTATATGATTCTCCAATTCTTCATAGCCCATGTGACATGGTGGGGGTGGCCTGAGGTATGTGGGCAATGCCACACTCAAGACTACATGGGTTGACCTTAGGTAGTACTTATGGGGATTAACATTCAACTTATTCCAGCTAATCCTCTCCATTACCTGAACCCTATACATTTGGTTTAGGCCAGCTTCTATCAAACATTTGACTTATAAATAATAAATTTACCATTGCCTCTGCCTTAATTCCAGAATATTTGAGAGAGGGTACCTTATCATATTTGATATGTATATTTTAGAGTAAAAAAGCATCATATTTTTAAGGGCTTTAATAACAATGTTTTCATAAAAGAATGGGAAATTTTCAAAGGTTGTTTATGAACATCTACATTTATAGAGGCACAACTTAGAAGTGTGGGGGGCACAAAATTGGTTTAGCTGTATCAAAGGGGTGTGTGGCCACACCACCTGCACTCCCTTAAATCTTACACTGGATAATGTGGTATTACAAAGGAAAGTACTTTGTGAGCCTCTTGGGGCAAAGGATGCCATTGCCACCTTTAGCATATGACTGTATATTAAATTTTAGTAAGAATAAAAGTATAATAAGTAAAATGTTACTACTTTGATCACCCAATAATTATCATGTTTTTACTTAATAATATGTTAAAGATTGCTACACTAATTCCCTTGTAATTAACAAATTTCATGTTCTTACTTAGATTAGGTACTTTTATATAAGTTTGTTCAGAATTTTGGCACTACCTAGATGTTGGTGCTCCAGGCAACTACCAAGTTCATCTAGTGGGAAGTGCCGGCCCTGATCCCCATCACCAAACATGTTCGCTTCCTTTTAGGGTTGCTGTCAGGGTCAGCCATCCGAGTGTAAAACTTCTAAGCTAATACAAGATACCTGAGTGGCTGTCCCCAGATTAAGATTGAATGAAGAAAACAAATCTGTAGATATTCAGATTTTTAATCACTCTTCAATGGTTCAAGGAACAAATATCATATTCGTGAAGTTAGTTTTTGAGAATAGTATCTAGGTTTATATCTGTATTTGATAAATTTTTATTTGAAACCATATCTAAACACAGCGACTTTAAAAATGTAATTTTATTCTAGGATCTTTCAAACTAACTGATTTAATTCATTTACTGGTGTTTACTTTTGTAGTCTGTTTGGTACAGTATAAATTATGATGTAGTATCATTCTAATATAGTATAAACTCACTAAAATTATATAATTTTTGAGTGAAATGTTTCATCAGTTTGGTATGTTCATTGTGTAAGCTGTAAAATAACCAAAAATTCATCACTAGTTTATGAAAAGCTTACACAACGAATTGCTTGGTAAAATAACCAAAGATTCATCAGTAGTCTATGAAACAAGCAATTCGTTGTGTAAGCTGTAAAATAACCAAAGATTCATCAGTAGTCTATGAAACAAGCAATTCGTTGTGTAAGCTGTAAAATAACCAAAGATTCATCAGTAGTCTATGAAACAAGCAGTTCATTGTGTAAGCTGTAAAATAACCAAAGATTCATCAGTAGTCTAAGAAACAAACAATTCGTTGTGTAAGCTGTAAAATAACCAAAGATTCATCAGTAGTCTATGAAACAAGCAATTCGTTTTGCAAGTTTTAAAATAACCAAAGATTTATCAGTAGTCTATGAAACAAGCAATTCATTTTTTTTTAAAGTTATATTCCATATTCCTGGTAACTTCATGAAAGGTTTTGGCTAAAATGTTTTTTTGTGTGTGTGCGTGCATGTGTGCTTTTCTTTTTTAGTTATATGAATTACTGTGCATTGTTTTCTTCAGGACTAACCTAAATCTTGGTTAGCCAAGCTTCATGAGATATTAATGAAATTAGAAACAGTAACATTGCAAACAGCAAGGTTACTCAAATGATAGTTTTTATAAAAATTTTTGTGACATTACATATTCTTAGTTAAAACAATATATTAAATCAGATGGTTAATTTTTGGTTCTGATTTATTAAGACAGTTTTGGTTGATATATAATTTATGTGTGTGTGTTTGTGTGTATATATAAATAAATAATAATGTACTATAAATTTGAAAGTGGTAAAATGTTAGATCTATTGTAAAGAGATAGTTTACAAGAATTTTTTTTTTTTTTCTAATAGGTTTGTACAGAAGGAAGACTAATTTTGGAGTTTACTTTTGATGACTTAATGAGGATAAAGTCATGGCACTTCGCAACCCGAGCTCATCGAGAACTAGTTCCTCGAAGTGTTGTTGCCATGCAGGTATGAAAAAAATAACAATGCTGTTTATATTTAGTTGTAACTGTTTAGATAAAACTTGTGTATGCAGTGAGTTCACTCATCCTACAAAATATATTGTTTGTTTGTTTTTCATTTCGCACAAAGCTACACGAGGGCTATCTATGCTAGCCGTCCCTAATTTAGCAGTGTAACACTAGAGGGAAGGTAGCTAGTCATCACTGCCAGCTCTTGGGCTACTCTTACCAACAAATAGTTGGATGGACCATCACATTATAATGCCCCCATGGCTGAAAGGGCGAGCATGTTTTTTGGTGTGATGGGGATTCAGACTCGCAACCCTCAGATTGCGAGTCGAGCGGCCTAACCACCTGGCCATGCCGGGCCTACAAAATATATAAATCTATATAACACCTGGAAATACATTAAGTGACTTGTTTTCATATGGTGTAAACCATTTCTAATACTCAAGACAAGTTTGGAAATGACACTTTGCCACTGAGACTTCATTCTTAACTTGTTTGTAATGAGTATTGGTGCCTCAAGACTAGTTTGGAAATGACACTTTGTCACCGAGGCTTCATCTATAGACTTCTATGTAATCCATATTGTTTTGTTTAAAGGAACAGTTTTTTTATTTACTTATAACAAACAGAAGGTTCCTTATCTTCTTGCTCCATTGTATAATTTAAAAAAGTCTGTGCTTTCAGTAATTGTGTTGTTTTCGTTTACAGGTGTTAAGAAGATCAATTAATTAGTGAACCATCAGACATGACAACACAGTTACTATTATAGGGTATTTCTTCATTTTGTATTGAAGCTTTTTTTTCTACTTTAAGTTTCTACACTTGTGACCACACAATAATAATAATAATAGGTCTAAATTGAGTTTTGTTTTTCCTTATAGAGCTTCAAACAATTCATCATTGCAAGCTTGCTCTAATAGTAATACTCTCCATTAAACATATCCTAGAATTTGTCAGATCTGTTTTCTCAATTTTATTGGGCTGATATGTAAAAAAAAGGTTATTTCCAAATGTTCCATAAATGTTTCTCAGTGAAACGACACTGAACTAGCTGTTGATCTGTTGTTACAATTCCAAGCAACACACGTTGGCATTTGTACTAACAACATATAATCTGGCCCCAGAAAAGTATTACTGAACAACAAAATTTATAATTGATAAAAGTTACATTCTTGAAGCAGTGAAGTTACTTTGTTATTTTAGGCTGGTGAGAATTTAATATTCTAGCTTTTCCATTTAGGCCTAAATGCTAAATATTTCACTTAGGCCTTTGTTATTCTTAACTTATCATGACAGACTGAAACAATTCTATTTATCACGAGTCTAATAGCTAATACTCTAACAGAAACGTTTATGCCTGTTTTATGTTTGAGTGAGCAAAATTAATGTTACTTTTAATATTAGATGATGCTATGTTACTGTCCACATACACATATAAATTAATTATTTTATATATATATAATGGAAATAAAATAAGTTCACTATTACTAGTAAATAGTGTGCCTGACTTTGCAGTTTTGCTTTTAATGATTGAGGATCACTCTAATGTTAGTTTTAAAAGCTAAACCACTGTTCTCTATACTGAGCATTGACACTGTCACGTGAAGTCACTGGCAGTTCTGAAGTGCCCATCTTGTTTGTCCCTTGTCATATTTTCAGTTGCTAAGATGTACTGCAGAGTTTTAAAACTGTAGCTTGTATCTAAAGTAGACAATGTGTGTTGTATGGAATAATGGTTGGTCTACAGCAGACATTCCCAACCTGGGTTACATGTACCCCCAAGGGTACATTTGCACTTCTCAGGGGGTACATAGGGATCTGAGAGTATAACCATGGTTTACATGGTGTTTTAATCTACAGTCAGACAAAGTGGCTCACATAAATATATGCTCTTTAGACAAAAAGTTGTGATCATGGTGAATGTTGTGATGTTATTGCTGTGCTACATTATAACTCATGTTTTCAATAAGTAATGTAGAACATAAGCAATATAGACACCCCCGTTACAAATCATCTGATAAACTAGGGATCAGCCAACTGAACAAGCTCTCCTCCCTCCATTAGTCAGAAAGCCCAAGAAGTACAAAGGAACAAAAAAAAAAGGTTGGGAATCCCTGGTCTACAGCAAGTAATCACAACCTCAAATCATCTAATAGATATTGCTACCTCAAGACAAGTTTTTGGAATGACACCTTCTCACTGAGACACCATCCTCAGACTTTTCACTAATGGACATTGGTACTTCTGAGAATTTTTTGTTCTTGTTTCTTTTAATAATAAAATTAGCAAGTTGGTGAAAAAAAAAATATATTTGTGTAACTATATTTTTCTAACTTTTTGTAATTATGTTCCTACTTTTCTTTCAGACTCAACAACAAGATCCTTCCTTTTTAGAACAACTTTCCAAAAACATTACTAGACAAGGACTTACAAACTCAACATTAAACTACCTCAGGGTGAGTTTAATCTCTTTTAAGGTTGAATCAGTTGTAATGAATAATGCATTACCCTTTGTGTGAACTTTTAACCAAATTCTTGAGCACACCTTCTATAATAAATTTAGCAATTCTCACTCTCCATACTACCTTTGTTTTTACTTGATGAGGCAAGAAAAAGTTAGTAAAGAGTAAATTTTCTATTAAAGAACAAATAAACAAAAAAAAAGTTACCTTAACTCTTTCAGCACCGACCTCGTAATCAATTTGTGCTTAGTATGGTTTTCATGATATAACTTTTAAATTAGTAAGCATATGTTCATGAAGTTTGTCAGATTATCAGTAAACATTACAAGGCTTTCAAATGTAAGATATCAGTTTTTTTGTTTTTTTTATTAAGTCTAAAGGTTTGTTGAGAAGTGTTTTTCTTGTGTCTTGTGTCTTTTCACTTGTTGTCCTATCCAACATGCTAAAGTAATTTTTATTTTAAGTATCAAAAATACTTTTATGCAACAGAAAATTTTACAAATTTACACATGAGAAATCTTTATAATGTCCAGATAGCTATCAAATGTTTCTTAAGAAAAAACTTTATATTTTATCTGTTATTTTCACTAACGAATCTGTGTATGGGTTTGGCTGATTTCACCGATCTCGTAACCACCATAAAAAATTTAGGAAATAAATATATATTATGCCTTTTTCGTTCTAGAATGACAACGTATTATAACACGAAAATACAAATATTTAGACTAATTAACTTAAATCTCATAACATTATACATTTATATATATTTATTAATTTTATTATATTGACCTTTTAGCTGTGCCAGGCTAACAATACAGAAGTTACAATGACGCAGCACACGTGCACTCATGTTACTGTATCCAATAATAAAAACTGACCTTTAGTCTCTATAAGGTGACCTGTCTTGGCTGTGTCTTAGTAGACTAGTATTTTGTAAAATAGTCACATTTCAATTGTTATACATTATATATGTATATAGATTATTACTGTTTACAAATAGCTTCTTAAACTTATTTTTCTTTAAAAATAGAACAGTAAATAAAGAAGTAAAGCAAACAATTATCTGTTCTAGTTACAACTTTTGTACTCATTTGCTGCTTGTCATACATTGCTAAGCCTTATAAAATTTCACACATGGAGGATGTGAAATGAAATGAATTTATAGAATTCCACCATAACTTATCAAGCTTAGTAACTAATCTGTATTTGTGTCTAAAGAAATATTAAATTTTGAGCAGGCTAAAGCTTACCAGCTTGAAGATTTGTATTGAAAAAACGAGGTGACGTTGTAATACTTGAAAATGGCTGAAAAACCCACTAGGGGAACATTCTGAGCTTTCGATTGGTTATTCACATGTCATAGACAGAAGTAAGTGTATATGAGGGAGCATTTCCAAAAATGGAAAGAGATAAGCGGGGCCACTGTGTTTGATTTGGTAAATGAACGATGTCTCGGCAAATAGAAAAGATAGGAGGTTCTTATTTTATATTCTAGCTCGTTAAAGCTGGTAATTTGAGTTCCTAATTCATACAAAACTATAGACTTTGTTTTTTGAATCGCAAACATCAAATTTGAACCGGTGCTGCATTCAACATACCATGTGACATACACAAATAGATGTTTAGGTGTTGTTTTTAAACTACCTTTCATTTACTATGATAGACAATTTAGGACTGTTAGTTTTTAATTCTAAACTGCTGTACATGAAAATATATCGTATGCAATATACTACCAAATTTGTAACAAGCTGAAGATACAATTAATAGAGTTCCATGAGTTTATCCCTGAATATTTCTACAAGACTACTAAAACTACTGAATTTCTGTTGATGAAAAACCAATGATATTTTGTGACATTTTCAAATAATTTTTAATATAAACTTAATACATTTTATCTATATCACAATGGGCTCATGTATTTTACGTGACCTTATAACCACCATATAACCATGGTAGCATACATGCTGTGACTCAGAAAGTATTTAATGTATGTTCATGAAATCTGGCAATCTTTCAGTAAACATTAAAAGTCTTTTGTAAACAAAAAACATAATTTTTACTAAAACTTTTTCTGTAATTATTTTACTAAAACTTTTTCTGTAATTATATGGCATCAGAGTGACTGCTCTGAGTGCAAAGTGCTCTTCGTGTTAAGATTTAAAATACTTTTCTTCATCTTAAAATTTTCAAATTTCGTTTGCTTAATCCCTAAAACCTTCTAAGCAAATATAAATTTTTTTTCCACGAAAGTATTATATTTTCTCGTATTTCCTATACTATACACGGTTGGCCGATTTGACCAACCCTGTAACCACCATAAAAATTAGTAAATGATTCTATATTACCCTTTTTTCTTTCTGGAATTACTGCAAATTGTAAAAGAAAACCACAATTGACTATTCTAAGTAGCGTAAAGCTTGTAACAGTATACATCTAATTATACTTAATTTTGTTGTTTTATTGGCTTTGAACTGTGTCTAACTAATATTTTTAGTAATAATCTTCCCCACAATTTGCAAACCACTGCAAATCTGTAGTTCACATTACCCAATTGAATTACGTAGTGCATGAGCTACTTGCAAACAAATCTCAAGAAAAAGTTTTATAATTTTCTTTATTTTATGTAATCTAACCTAATAAGTTTCTAGTTTTTACATTTTAATTACTTTTATAATAACAAATAAAGAATACGCATGAAAAACAATAAATATAGATAGTACTTACCTGTGTTTTTTCTCTCTCTCTTTTTTTTTTCTTTGTTTCTTTCATTCCTTCTTTCTTTCTTGCTGTTGATTGTCAATAAAACTCAACCATACCACTTTATACTAATGGTACTACTGTGATAAATAATTTTTCATTTACTTAAATAATATGCCTAAGAACAGAGAATAATAACATGTAAAAAACCACACTATGACCTATAACTATCATAATTTTTCTGGATTACTAACTATGCGATAAGGGCTGCTAGAAATTCATATAAGCTCATCGATGCATTTCCTGTGGGAATAAAGTTTGAACTGGAAGCAAAATTCAGACCTGTCAACTCTTATGATTTTGGCATAATTGATCCTTTTTTTTTATTTATTTTATGGCAGTACAAGTTGTTGTTTTATGATTTTATGCAAAATTTCATAATTTTTTCACAACCTTTTCTTTCAACTAATAATTTTCTGTAAATAATTCACTGCTCTCTACTTTGTCTCTCAATCTTAAAAATGCTTGTAATAGTCTAAAAAGTGTGTAAATAGTAAGTGTCTAGGGTACACTGATCATTTTTTGAGAAGAAAATGGTGGGAAAATGTTGTTCTGCTTTGTCCCCAATGACTCCAACAAAGTTTATAACAAGCAGAAGTTTGGGCATGAGTTTTCAAAAATTTATCTTTAAATGTGTACTGTTGTATGTCATTAACTATATATTTGATTTTTCCTTCCTTAATTTAAATGGGAATAGAAAGGTAAAACTCTTGCTACAGTGCAAAATTGTGCTATGGTAATTACAAATTAGGTTGTACAACTGACAGTTTGGGAAATTTTAGTTTAATTCCTAGCTTTGAGGAAAACTAGCTTCTCATCAAACCAGATACAGAATTAAAAAGTAGAATTTTTAAGAGATAAAAAAATAATTCAGTAATAGTTTTAATTTTAAAGCCACTTTATTTTCAAGACAAGATAGTGAATTCAAACTTAAAAATTTACGTACTTCAGTGGCATTAATCCTGCCGACATTGAAACTCAAACATTTTGTTAATTGTAACTTAAAGCCAACATTGATAACTGTTTTTGAAAATATACCATTACATACTAAACCTGTAATTATTAGTGGAATACTTCACGTTGGATCTTTAGTAATTTTCTTAGTAGCATTTTATGTTTTTTTGTTTAATTAATTCATGAGAGAGAAATTATGAAACTTAATCCAAACTCATTCCCATTATGGAAATTGTGGTAATTATCTGATTCTTGTTTCGCTCATTGAAATGCAGTAATCATGTGTCCAAACATGATGCAAAAATAAAATACATTATTAAATATTCTATCATGGTAGACCAGAAAGAAAATATATTGTTTTAATAATTTAGATGAACTTTGGTATTCAGTCATAATAATAAGATAATACGTATTAAATAATTTAGAATGGTTAAAAAGAACTGTATGACATATTTTTTTTCTTTGATGTGTAGCTTTGTGTTATACTAGAGCCCATGCAAGAGCTTATGTCTCGTCATAAAGCTTATGCTCTTAGCCCTCGAGACTGTTTAAAAACCACCTTGTTCCAAAAATGGCAGAGGATGGTGGCTCCTCCTGGTAAGCTGATACTGATGTTTTGCGATTTTCTGTTTTGTAAAATATTTTGAGCTTTCTGTTATTAAATGTTTGTAAGTTTGGTGATGAAATTGCCTTTTTATTTAAATGTGAAAAGTATTGAAAAGATTAATACAAAAAACTGTAAAATTTGTTTTAAATTCAGAGATTTTCTGTTTTTCAAAGATTTTTGCATTTGATTTTCATGTTATAAATGTATATCTTGTGTAAATATATATTCCCTAATTTTTAATTTACTTTTGTTTGTTAATGACCTGTATTCAATTTTTTTACCCATTGTATAAGTGACAGTGTGTGTAGTCCAATTTTCAGCCTAGTAGAAATTATATCAATATATTTTTCCTTGTAATTATTAAGTTTATAGATATTTATATTATATATATAATGAAATTATTCAAAATCACTTCTCAGTTGTTTTTTGTTTAATAGAAACTTCACCTAGCCAAATTGTTTATGTACAAGCAAAAGATAAAAATATTAAATTTCAGGGCAGTGACCAGCTTTGAGAATTTTATCTAATTTTCGAGAATACTACCAAAGCATTATGAATAAATCGAGTAACTTTAATGTTGCCTGCCCGTAGCTTGGTGCTTGGGTAATCCCTTCATATTGCTTTTGTCTTAAGCACACTAGATGGACTAGGTGAGATTCTTTGCTGGGCGCTAGGTTGGTTTCATGTGCTTATTTGATTGGTTGATCCCACTAGGTTCCACCTACCGCGGCCCTCCAAATGACCTAAAATCATCTCAGGATGTAGGTATGTCATCAAAAAAGGTCGCTGCTTTCAATAAAATTAATTAACCCACATAATGTTTTCTTCTCATTGATATATGTATATTTTTTCTTTTGTGATGATGGTGGTGGTAATAATAGGCAGTAGGTATTTTCAAGATTTCACCTGAAGGAAACATTTGCTTGTAATAATTCTTTTCTAAAACTGAAACATAAATAATCTTTCTGCATGGAAAAATGTTTGGTAGGCTTTGCCTTCCTCTGTAGTATAGATGGCATATCTGTGGGGAGTGAAACTAACCTCTTAACTACTTAACCCCTAAAACTTTTCTTTGTTTTAAACCTTTATTTTAAGCAGTACATTATCTAAGTTAAATAATTTAAAATTTTTGTAAAATCTTTTAAGAAAAATTGAGTATTGTGTTGTAATGTAACCAGTGATGGAAGATTTATGTTGTAATGTAACCAGTGATGGAAGATCATATTTCTATTATGTTTTATGTATCCTTATCTTTGAAATAACAAGTTCATATTGTACATTTGCACATAAGAGTATTGAAGAGCTAGCTACTCACTGTTTGGTCAGTTTTTGTTTTGTTATAACTCTGCATGTTGTTCTTACCATCATTTTTAGATATTTGTAACAATTTTCCTGAAACTGACTTGCACAAAGTAATTACAAATATAATCATTTCTTTTTTACATGCTACTTTTATAAACACAATTGGTTAAAATGTTTAATATATATATATATATGTTCTTTTCTTATACATTTTGATTATGAAGATTAGTTTACCTTGTTAGTACATGGATTTGGGACTAACCTAAATCTCAAAAGTACCAAAATTACGAATCAGGGCAACCTACACTTTCTATTAGTTAGAACAGTATAGTAAATTAACTATATTTACTGTGTTGCTTTTTAGTTCTGATCTGTGTAAGTATCTTGCTGTGATCAAAAGTTAATAACAATGTCAGAATGAAATTATAAAATCACTAAGCCTCCAATACAAATAGCTGCTTTCAAAACAGACACGAAAATCTTAAACCAAGTTAATAGAAGTAAACTTGTTCACTAGCAAAAGTGAAAGTTCAAAGCTGATTATACTTATGGTTCAGTGGTTTTTGTATCTTATAAACTTTTCATGTAAGTATGGACTGAAGTTTACAATGGTTGAGAATTTTCTAGCTGAAAAAAGGCTTTAAAAACTTTACCTTTGGTTTAAAGATGTTTGAATATTTGTTTAATTTACACCAATTTTACTGGTTACTCTGCCATGTTCCAAGCTCTTATGTACAATTATATAAATCTGGCAGAACCCATAGAACCATATTTCTGTAAAAAAATATGATGATAATGCAGTGAAATATAGAATGTCCAAGAATTTTGGAAGAACTTAAAAAAAATCATATCAAGAAAATTGTTTACCATAGACATATGTTACCTGTGAAAGAATAATGTTAAAAGTATTTTAACACGTGAACATGTGAGAGCCAGTTTGAAAGCAAACTTGTGGACAGCAGTCACTCGTAATGCTGTCATTGGTCTCTCTCTTTTTCTTGTAGAAGGAACTGTTATAGGAAAAACGTACATTAACATGCTGCAGAATTTTGCTTTTCCCACTTTGAAATGCTACAAGTTAACATATTTTCCAGAAGGGATTGTGAGGGTAAATTACATCAACATATCCAAGAAGCCTTCACAAAAGTTCTTCCTCCAAATCTTCCAAGTTTTGGTTTCAAAAACACTTAATAGGAGATTTGGTACACACGGGACATTTTACTTGTAACTCATGGTACACATATAACTATTGTGATTGTATGATGTAAAAAGAAAATATATTCATGCTTGTACAACAAAGTGTGTGTATCTGTGTAAAACAGTTTTCTGAGTATTAAATTCATCGAAAGTATTTCCATAGTTATCAATTTTGGTTGTCAAAATTACTTTAAAAGTCATTATTACCAAAACATGAAAAAAGCTTGGACTGCTACCTTATAAGAAAATTATCAAATTGCAGCAAATACAGTTCTTTTATGCAACCAATGAATTATATTTGTCTGAAATATTCTAACGATTTAAAATGGCTACTGAATTTTGTTTATTCTTAACCATCCATCTGAAACATTAGAGCTTGTTCAAATGTACGTTTAACAAAACCATTGGGCCAGATATGTCCTTAGTGGTTAGCATGTTGGTTTATGTATCAGGAGGTTCATGGTTCATGTCCTGTTACCATAAAACAATATTGTGCTGTGTAGTGTGGAATTGTGGTTACATTATAAGTGTGAGGATTATCAAATATCATTATTTGATTATAGTGGCCTGAGAGGCGACAGTGGGTGCTGTTGGCTATTTGCCTTCCCTCTACTATATCAGTTAAAAATTAGATATGGCTAACACTAATAGCCCATTTGTACCTTTGGGCACCTATCCAAAACTAACAAAATTAATAACATTCTGTATAATAAAAGATGATTATTGAAAAACTGGAGTGTTTAATAGCCTATGTGTATTTTTAATACATTATTTTGCATGTTGGAATTACGCACTATCTCTACAATAGGGTGTGTACTTGGACAACATGAAATGTCTAACAGTTTTCATCAGTTCCTTCCACAAAGAAAGTAATTTATGAGATTGATTAACACTTATACTTGCCTTCAAATGATGCAATTCTCTAGTTAAACGTTTTAATTTTAGCATATGAAATATAGAAATTTTTAAGAATGATTATATTTTTTCATATACATAAAAACTAATTTTGTCACACCTAATTAATTTTGACTAGGAAATGGAACAAAATGTCAGTTTTGGTAATCTTTTCAGTAATTTTTCTTTGGTGTATTGTCCTGTAAAAGCTTGAATTTTCAAGTCAATTTGCCAGAAATCTTAATCTCAAGCTTATTCAACATATATTGTCAGGAGAAAAGGAATATTTTTGACCATTAAAATTAGTGCTTCATTGCTAACAATGACTTCACATGAAATACACTGCTTTCCAAATTAAAGAACAAATTACCTTGGATAAACCAATGTTTTATTTTATTTTAGTGAAATATTTCTGATAATCTTGTATTTTTAGGTTTGCCAGATTAATTTTTATTATTATTATTTTTTGGTACACTGTTGCAGAAGCTCAACGGCCACCAAGCAAAAGACGCAAAAGAAAGTCTTCTACAGCAAGTAGTGGAACTGGAAAGAAGAAAAATACTGCCTCTCCTGGGCCAGCTAGCTTTTCTCTTGCTTCTCAGGTCTGTTATCTTGTTAATTTTGTATTTTTTTTTTTTTTCTTCCCCAAGAAAATTTTGAGTCATGATATAGTTGTCATTTTCTGAAAAATGTGTGTTTATATATGTGTATGTGTCTAGTATAGTATACACATATTTTGTAGTAGCATAGTTTTTCATTTGCAAGTTCTTTTACCATATTTGTGGGAAATAATTTATATCTGTCTGAATTTTGCTATTTAAGATTTAAGAGTATTTTGATTTCAAAACTAACCACGTGGTTGGGCTCTATCAATAACAGAAGAAACAAAAGGTTTGTGAAACAAAGGCTTTATTTATTTGCTCATAACTGAATATAGTTAGTAACCATTCATTTTGAATATATTTTTAATTGCTATTTTGTTATTATATATATATATATATATATATATATATACACACACACACACACACACACACACACACACACACACACACACACACACACACACAATGTTATTCACAAAATTTTGAAATGCTCAACCGTTTCAGATTTCTCCAGAGGGCCTTGTATAGGTTTTTGTAGAATTTGTTTGTCCATCCCTATGCTTAGGTTTATATTTACTAAGAAATTTGAGAATATAATTATCTATGTTTTACATGAATATCCTTCTCTTTTACTGATTTTATTACAAAAGTCTCTCAATTCCACCCTTTTATAATCTCAGCATATGATCTGAACAACTGCCAATGAAGCTCAGCTTTGAAAATAGCTAGAAGCAAAGTTTAGGTACCACTAGATAGAACAGATTATAAGGTATTTACATCAATGTAGATGGAACATGGTGTGAGAAGTAACTTATGATGTGCCAAGACCTATCTACTGTGAAGAAGAAGAATAGAATCAAATGGGAAGTTTAAAAAACCACAGATTTAGGAATTTTTTATACTTTATATGTTCTTTTGGTTCCTGAAACCACTGTCATATTCAATTATATTTTAAAGCTATAGAAATGTTCTTCTAACAAGGCATCAGGTAAGCTTATTTAGGTTTGTCAGTAAGATAGACAATAGCAAAATATTATGATGATCAATTTTTTGGTTATTAAATATTAGGTTTATTGTATATAAATAAAAGAACCTATAATTTATCGGTAAGACAATGTATTTATTGCATATAAATTGAGCTTGACCAAGAACATTGCTACTTAGCATAACCTAATGCCATTTTGAAAGATCAGGTCCTAGATCATATTCGAGCCTATGTAAGTTCGAGATGTGTTCAAGGATTAATAGTCAGAAGTTGACTACCACAGTTTCAAAAGAAATGTTACTAAAAATCAATGAAGTTAAAATTAGTGGAAATATAAAATGACACTTTCTCATCAACAATAAAAACAAATTTAAATTCTAAGATAAACAATATATATTTTTGAAGTTTTTCAAATATCTTTTCAAGGCAAAACTAGATAGTGATTAGTAAGTCTGTTTTAAGCTTTATGCAATTTGATTAAGTATTTCCACTGTATAAAAAAAAAGAAGAAAATCGAGGAATATAAGGCACTCCACTGGCCCAGGAAGGTGTAGGAAATGTTTATTTTTTGCTTAAATTATTTAAAATTTTCTTCTGCTATGGAAGCTATGTAGAAATATTGTTAGTTTAATCAGTCATTTCTTATATGAAAAGTAAATTACATACTATATTGGTATTTCTATATCTAGTACTTTCTGGATAATTTATAAAAGAATTTAAATATCAACCATTTACCTTTCCTTTGTGTAATTTCTAATTTCAGGATGTTATGGTTGTTGGGGAACCATCTTTGATGGGAGGAGAGTTTGGAGATGAAGATGAAAGACTTATCACACGGCTTGAAAACACACAATATGATGCCTCAACAGCTGCAGCCAACGGGCTGGAGGATGCAGAGGAATACTCAAGTAACGCAATGACTTCTGCTTCGTGTTCAAGTGTTTCAACTTGGTCTGGGCCACATACAGGAGCTGCGGGACAGGATCGAAAATCAACGTCGACAGCAGGTGGGGGATCAACAAATAATGGCCCTCAGTTAGCAAGTCAAGATGACAAGAAAGCTTCACCATCTATAAGCCAGTAATTATAGCTGGCCTCTGGGACTATATTCCAGTTAAATACCAGTTGAGGTACTTTGAACTTGTTTCTCAGAAGAGGATGAGCTGGAATCTAAATGTATAATGTGTTTTCATAGATCATTGAGAAAAATAATGTTGGTAATATTCTTGTGCAACATCATTTCCTTTGGTCTACTGCAGAGTTTTCAGGTCTGTTTATTAATCATTATGTAATGAAACTTTGCATTCCTTCACTTGAGAGGCAATAACACCTGAACAACACAAACCACTAATAATTTCATGATAAAGCTTAGCTGAAAGGTTTAATATGCTAAGCTCCAAGTTTTTTATTTCATTAATTGTTACTGTACAAAAACACAGATGAACAGCTATTTATTTGCAAGTGATACAGCCAAGAACCTTCATTAATATTTTGGAAGTTTTAGTAGAAAATACCGATACAAGTAATTCCACTAAAAACGTGTATAATTCCAACTTGTCATTCATAGGCTTTGATGCTAGGACTGGAAGCAGCACACCAGATTAAGTTATTCATACAGTTCCTGTTTAATATTTGAAATAGTCTGATTCACCTGTAACATTTGTTTAAGGCTGTTCGAATGACATGCATGTTTTTAATCACTTGGGAGAATCGAAATTAATTTCTAGAGTACTGTGCAATAATGTCCTGAAAAGCTTTTTGTCAAATCATGCTGTATTATCCCACTTATTGAGGTAAAGAGTAAAAAATTTATTTAACATTAGAAAAGCCATTTCTAAAATCAAAATGTTTTGATTTACATTATTTAATTCTTGGTATGTTTAGGATTACTTTTTCTGGTATCTTGTGTAACTGTGGATAGCAGAAATAAAACATTTTGTATTCTCAGATGCAAGAAAACAGTCATAGCTATAACTTCTGTTGTTTTTTTTGTTGTTGTTGTTGTTTGTTTGTTTTTTTAACCATGATGTATGCTTACTACTTTGCTGAACCAATTATAATACTTGTTCAAGGTTCAGAATCATTGTTCATTCAAGAATAAAGATGTTGAATTTCTGCCGAGGTATTTTTAAAACTTCATTCCGCACTATGATTGCATATTTAATGTTTGTGCTTGTTTATGCAGTAGAGATTGATCATCACTGCTAAGCCTGAAAGGCCCGAATATTGGGTTAAAGGCTCATCGGTATTAGATATAGCAGATATAGTGTAGGTGAGACTATCATCATCATCATAATACGCACTTCTTTACTTGGTTATTTGATCTGTTATAGCTCATATGTAACTGTCTGCTTTGTCAAAAACAAAATCCTCTAGTGGGGTTGATGTGGATAATATAAAACTTCCTTATAAATCATTGTTGTATTAAATTGTGAAACTTTTCTATTGGATTCTGTTTTTGTTTTGTTTTTTTCCAGTTCCTTAGTATTGAACTGCACAGGTTGTCAGAGCCTCTAAATTAATTCTAACAAAGCAGTCAAAACTTGAGGCAAGGGACCAAATTTTAAATGACTTCCTTGTGGCTTGTGCTTGAAAGTAGAATAGACATAAATCAGACTTGTATGATATTTACATTAGAATATTTCACAGATATATGAAAAGTAGGAGAGGTGTGATAAACAGGACATTTAAATCTCTCCTGATGTTTATAGTTAGTAACATTAATAGTCGGCATGGATATCATTTTTCAAAGAACAAACTGAAACGTTTAATGATTTTTATATCAAAACGTCCAACTTGGCGAAGAAACAAAACATCTTGTTTTCTACTTTAAAAAGATGGAGTACAACAAGAAAACTACATTTTTCTCTGACTCATACAGTATATGGACTGTATGAGTGATACGTAGTTTGGTTAATTGTGTATTCCAACCTCAGAGGTAAAAATATGTGACTGATGTTCTGTATCTTGAAATGTAAGGTATATTGAGTTATAGGCTTAATTAACTAGCGTCAAAGTTCCTTTTAAGGAGTTCTATTGTTCATTGGTGGTATGTCATGAGTTTTAACAGTTCTTTGATATGTGAGAAAATTCTTTTCAAACTTCTTTCCTGTGATTTGTTGTTTCATAAAGTTGTAAACAGAAATGTGTAACTAGTGTAATCAAGGTATCAGTGAGATGGTGTTATAGCCTTTCTGTAGCTTCAATGTGTCTTCGTGTATCCTGTACATTGTATGTTTGGTGAAATAAATCTACAGTTGCTAGTTTCTCTGATTTACTTGAATTAGTTTTTCCACAGACATGCAGCTATTAAGAATGCACACTTAGATTTACAGTTAGACCACACTACACTTATCATGAGGTTCAGAAATTATTTAAAAAATGTTATGTACAGAGAGATAAAATGCACTGTGAATCTGAAAATTCGTAGTTCATATTCAGTTACTGAAAACTTAAATCTTGTGGCTGTGTGTACCATAAAACTGACAAGCAAATCCTGCTATTCGTTAATGTAATAATAATAATAACCCCAGAGCTGGTGGTGGGTACTGTTGATTAGCTGTGTACAGATATCTCTTTTGGTGTGCAAAAATTTTGAAAGAATCCAGTGTTGGTTCCAATATAAAGTTAAAGGAAATATGTGGAAGAAGAAGAAAAAATACAGTTTAAGAGGAGTTTGTTATATATAGATATTGCTTGTCAAAATTAGAATTTTTTTTATTCAAACCTAAACTTTTTCAAAATTAATTTATACCTAGAAAATCTCCATACTTAACACCTGTATGAAAACTTTCAAAAGTTGGGTACAAAACTAAATAGGCCCGGCATAGCCAGGTGGTTAAGGCACTCGACTCGCAATCTGAGGGTC